TTGTCTCTACAAAGACTTTGCACATCTAGACTTTGCAATATTTGCCCACTCTTCTTTGAGAACTGCTCAAGTTCAGTTCAATTTGATGGTGAGTGTTTATGGACTGCAGTCTTCAAGTCATTCCACGGATTTTCAATGGGGTTTAAGTCTGGGCTCTGACTAGACCATGCAAGGACATCTTTTTATCCTTTAACCACTGTGTGGTCAGTTTTTCTGTGTGCTTTGGGTCACTGTCATGTTGGAAGGTAAACCTTCTTTCCATTGACAACTTTCTGACAGAGGGCAACAGATTTTCCTCAAGAATTTGACTGCATTTTGTCCCATCCATTTTTCCTTCTATCCTGACAAGTGATCCAGTCCCTGCTGCAGAGAAACTACCCCATAACAGGATCCTCCATGCTCCATGCTTTACTGTAGGAGAGCTGTTATTTGGATGGTGAGCTGTATTGGATTATTGCCATTTGGTGTTGATTCGTGTTGTGGCCAAATAATTAATTTTTAGTCTCATCTGCCTCAGAATCTTCAAGGTGCGTTTTGAATTATTGTCACATGCACACAATGACCACTCTTTGTCATAAATTCCTGCAACTGCTTCAGAGTTGCTGTATGCCTCTTGGTCGCCTCTCGGACCAGTTTCCTCCTGGCTCTTTCATACAGTTTGGAGCAACGTCCTGATCCGGGGAGGGTCTGTGTTGTACCAAATACCCTCCACTTCTTAATAATAGACTTTACTGTGCTTCTAGACATTGATAAAGCCTTTGAAATGTTTTTGTATCCATCTCCTGACTTTATCCCAGAGATCTTTTGACGGTGCCTTGCCACCCATAGTTGATTGTTTGCTTCAGTTGCACTACCAAGGACTGAAATGCTCCAGGAAAGCTCTTTTCATACTGAGCTAATCAAAATTACCACAGCTGATCACAGTTGAAAGTCAAATGGCTTTGTGTGCAATTGAGAAGGTGATTAGCTACACCTGATTGAGTTTACAAGGCATTTTTAGGAGGAGAGGGGGTGATTCTTTTTCCAACTCAGTGATTCTGGTTTTTTATTTATTTTTTCTGACATGTTGGTTTTATATCTTTCACTTGGATGTTATAAGTTGTTATAAGAGTAAATACAGCTGGACAAAACAAAAACTGTATCCGTCTCCATTTCAGGCTATAAAGCAAGAAAATGTGATTATTTTAAAGGGGGGATTCTTTTCTATACCCACTGTAGATAACGACTATGCAGAAGATGGCAAAATTAATGAATGCTTGCTCGCTTCATTTTTGTACTTCGGATTTTGACATTTTTGATTAATTTCCAAAGCCACAACACAGATGGGCACAAGCATCTATTTGTCATGACTGTAATGCAAAGGTTCAAAAGAATTCGGGAGTCACTTTCTACGAGCAGAAATGAGATATAAATTCTCTCTGCTGCAGCGCGTCAGTCACACTTTTCAGGAAAACGAGTGAGTAAACGAATAAATACAGTTTGACCAATTTATACATCATTAAAAGGGTGGTCTAGGGAACGGTTCACTTCTGATGTGAATACAATCGTACTAAATCACGAAAATGAACCGTAACGGAGTTCGCATGAACCGTACCCCAGACCACCCTTTTCAGGCAGACTCGGGTACGGTTCGCGGTGCGCACCAAAAGTGCTAGTGTGAAAGCCCCCTAAATTGTTACAAAACAAAACAAAACATTTTATCAAGCAGCCATAATATTTTTTTTTTGTTCATGCACCTAATAGAGTACCCCAAAAATGGTTAAACTGTCAACCTAAACTAAACTAAACTAAATTAAACTAAACTAAACTAAACTAAACTAAAC